GAACCATACATATTGGAGCACATCATCTTTGTATTATAAGATTTTAACTCCTTATCTAGAGTTAAAATAGTAATGTATTTGATATCCATATATTTCTGAACTGTCAGTTCTATAATAATTATATGGCTATTCTACGTCTTCATTATGTCATCCATACATATGTTGTGTAAAAGTTTAATACTTCGTCTTGTAAATTTTTTACGTCTTTTTTAGACTATTAGTTCACAGGTCTTTAGATTATTCTGTACAGTTACAATCTTGATTTGATTAAGCATCATAGAAACTCAAATTTAGGAGCCCAAACTATAATTATTTTTATATAAACTTATCCAAATAATTTATGACTTAAGAATATATTAAAAATTAACTGAAATGCACCTAATCTGAGTTATTTTCTAAACATTTCATTTAAATTTGTTCAGTAATAAATTTTCTTAAAAATTCATGCTTCAGTATTTCTCTTGTTAATTGCCCCTGCTTAAAGTATTAAATTATGTCACCCTCACCAATCAACCATTCAGTATTCCCTCTTCAATTTGGGTATAAAATATAAAATTATCACAAAGAAAGAACTAAAAACTATAATAATTTAGGAGACAATCTGCCTCCACTTTCAGCAACAAGAGTGAACGCATGGGAAAGCATTAAATAGGCTTAACTGAGACTTTTGGCTCGTGACTTGTCTTAAGTGAAAATAGTGTTAAATGCCACTACTCCGCCCCCTTTTAAATTATTTAATTTGAATACGAAGAGTAACACCCCATTCAAGTGATTGAATATCACAAAATTTTTGACATCAATGAGCCACCCGCGTTGGTGACGCAGAAATGAACAAGAAACGGAGAAATGAAGGCGTTTATGTCACATTGAAGCATCACAATTGAAAGACAGAATGGTACTACTTGTTAAAATATCTGGCACATCACTTATAATAACTTACAAAAATATTGAGACTAATTATGTCTCATATGTAGAGGCTGCACTTGGTTGTACACAGAAAGGTAATAGCAAACTTCTTTGGGGCGCTACTTTTAACATGATTAGGATCTTAAAGGTATAATTTGTTGACACTAAAGATGTCTATATATTTTTGCCTGTGTATGGTTCCTTACTTATTATTAGAAGGTGCTATGGTACGCAAATGGGAACTATTATTATTAAGTACTTACTTAAATGGCCATAACAATCCGTTTTCGAGTTTCGGCCTGACGCAGAATGTCTCTCCAGTTGCCATACTTATTAAGTAGCAGGCCTTTTAGTTATTTTATAAATTATATGGTTTGTTTTTTATATGGTAATTATATTTGTTTTGAGATGTTTCGAGACTTTCATAAAAATTTAGAGTAAATTTTTTTAACTGCTTGCTAAGATAGGTCAGCAACCCAAATGATTAACTATCTATGATGAAGTACTTCGCTTCGATGAGATCCAGTATCTCATTTATTTCTATTTTAATTATGAAAATAGGTTCGATTACAATATTATTTCTTTACAATCCATTGTGTTATAGTTTAAATCAAGTTTTGAAACCATTTTAAGTCTTTTATGAAACACAAAATTCACTTCAAGGAAAGATCTTATAAATAAGATCCTCTAAAAAGTAATTCTCCGCTATTTTTTATCTTTCTTTCTTTTTTTTTGTTTTTTGAGATTATATGATAATTAATGGATAGATATAGCTAGGTAAACATAAGTTCAAAATATTAATTTATTTGAATATTATTTACAATCTAACTAATCTCATAATATGAAACATCTACAAAACTTCTGCAGCAGATTTTATACTTCAGAACAGAACCCATGCCACTCGTCTCGTGCAGCATATCAGGTCTTCAAGACCGCTCGTACTTCCCAGTTTCCTCAAAATTGGTGTTAATTTTTTTTTTATTTGTTTGGGGTTGTTTAATATGTGTGTTTTGTGTGCACACATGAATTTGTGTGTATTTTTGTGTAATTTGAAACATTTTCGGTATCTTATCTGCTTGTTTATTATCTTGTCACACGCGTTGTTTAATTTTTATGAATATGGAAATATGTTACTTGTACTTCAAACAAATGTTAAGCTCCCCCCTAAAATTAGTGTTGCTGGTACGTTTACACATATCAGAGGAATATCGTAGGAAGACTTTGTGTATAAGTACCGATGGGGTTAATTGAAAATCTTAAGTGGCGGCACATGCTACGGATTAGCCACGTTTTAAATTCAATTAACGCCCTGAAAACAGGAAAACTATTTTGGTGAAGTTTTGAAATTTATTTTCAATTTTGATAATACAAATAATAAAACAAGAAAGTGTGGAATTGAATTTTTAATACCTCCAAATATCTGAGTATTAAATTAAGAAATGTTAACAGAAATAAAATTAAATTGCTTAGCCTAACACATCCTTTCAAGGACTTTTAAGACGAACCATACTACTCAAATTGACTTCCAATAATACGATGACCACTATTTCTACTGTGAAAATTGCCAGCTGTAAATGTTATTAGGTGCGTACTGATAGTTCCATCAATAAGTTTCAAATCTTTGAATACTACGTTATTCAGATTATTTACAGAGACTTCTTCTAGTCAACACAAGACTATATCGATGAACTTCCTTCCACTTTTTGTGATAAAGACTTTTAAATTAATAAGTCATAGTCAAAATTTACACATTTAAATTTATAATGCATAAATTATGGACAGATAACTCTTGGCTTTTGCATCATCGCAGACTGCAGTATTTCTTTATGATCATTTCGCCCTAAATTTACTTCATATCGTTTCGAAACTATTGTATTCAAACCGTTCCGTCCCCAGGGATACCGTTTGGATAGGAGATCGAATTTCATTGCGGCTTTAAGTCTATTCCAATAATCGTTTAGAACAATCGCTTAAAAGATTGGACAAAAAAATTGGGCTAAGTTCAATATTTTCAGAGGGAAGTATTTTCTAAGTAATAAAGTAGAATTAAAAGATTAAAAAAATATTCCAAAAGATTGATTTAGACTGCGATATATACATATACATCTCCTCCAGATAATAAACTAATAGTGCATACAGCAAGTGCTATCTCCAGCCCTTTAAATATGGTTTGCGGATAGGGTTTCATATCCGTGCATTACTCAGCTGCAAGTAGATGATGTGAAGTAAATCCAGAACATCTTGAAAGACATTTTGGGCCTAAAAAAATGAAATCTCATAAAAATAAAACTTTTTTGAAAATTTATAAAAAAATGCTATAAAAAACAAACCTATTAATGTGTATTAGTATGTTTGGCTTTAACTTTTATACTATTTAATAATTAATTTAATAATTAAGTGAATAAAGTCTACTGACCTTCACTTAACCCTACTATATAAAGTTAAATAGTAAAATTAAGTAAAGAAATAGTTTATAACTTCAAACTCAATTCAACCTGCATATATAAAGCATTCTTAAATAACAATTACAAGAAAGCTTAGTCCTGCCGTCCTTAGTTTCGCTATGTAACCATATATGTTCCAGTACTTAACATTTAATGACCACTCTTTCCTTTTTGGTACTGCAAATATAAATGCAAGTAAAAAAAATAGAAACAAAAATATAAAGAGAAAAGCACATTTGGTAATTCATTAAGTTACGGAAGTTAAACTCGAAACAGCAATTTCCCCTAGAACCAATTATAGAAAAAATTTAAATTCGTTTCAAAAGTACCGAACCATACTGTTCCAGTACACACAAACACTACACACTTGACAGTCAAAATGGTAAGGTGAGCACCAGGATGTGCAGGACACCAGCAGACATGTTCATAAATTGAAATCACTTCCATGTCCAGGAGTGAAACTCAACAAAATCAAAATAAAATATAAAATAAAAAATTATAAAAGATAAAACAAAACAGGATTGTAACGAGAAATAAACTACTACAACTTACCATAACTGCTATAGCATGGGAGTCCAAGTTTGAGTCCGTGAGTTAACTCATGTTGTGTACTACAAGTCGGCAACATTTGACACAGTTGCCACTTGCGATTGCCGACATGACAGCCAGAGAAACTAAAATAAAATTACAAGGAATTAAGATAGAAACTGCACATGAAATACTGAGTTACTCTTGTAAAGGATAAAAACGAAAGGAGTCTGGGTACAACTAAAGGAAACTAGATTGAGTGTCATGTGAAAATGCGCCTGCACATATAAATAACGCCTGTGGCCATAATAAAAAGCCCTAGTTGTTTGGTAACTTTAGTGGACAACCCCGCCCGCACTAGTATTAAAAAATATTGGTTGTCGGCGATGCTACTTCACTCCAAATTTACACAAAGCGAAGTGATATACTTTAAACATTTTCCTTCTCTACTTTTATATAAGCTCGTTAGTATTTTTATGCTTTTCTCACTGTTTTTGTCGTCCTGTGTCGTCCTAGTCATTCTGTTTTACTAGTTTCAATAGAGCTAAATTACTTTATGATATTTATTAGCTTGTGACTGTGAGATAATAAAAAATTCTTAAAGCATATAAACCCTTCCAAGGGGACTACTATTTATTTAAGCAAACCTTTTTTTTTGTTTTGACTCTAGGACTAACGCCCATTAGTCCATTGAATGGAAATTAAACAAATTTTTTATATTGTATGTTATACCAAAACTTATTTAAATATATATAAAACACATCAACTAATAAATCCAGAGCGTAAGTTATAGAAACACTATTTTAGCAAAATTCAGATTAATTCATCAAAACTGTTTCCTTCAAGAGAAATTGACATGTTCCAATGGTTCTATTACTTTTCGATACCAACCTTAAAGAAAAATTTAGCTTTGGGTATAAAATAAGTGGTTACTTTAGAGATGATTTCTCAACTGAATAAAAAACCTTTTCGTATATATATAACATACTGAACTGCTAAAGAAACACTGCGCTATTGCACTGACGCTTTAGTAGTGACTTACTATAACCAACGGACTATGTGGGTGTTGCCAGAAAAAAGAAGAGCTTCAATTATTCAATTACTATATTTTTGTTCTGGGTCTGCAAACAGAGCGACCTCAATGTCTAGCAGATCCTTATTAACACAGCAACGATAATACAAATAGATTTATCGATCTCTTTTACAGAAAAGATCTTTCAGATCGCAGTGCATATATAGCCTATCTATAATAATTGGATCTATTTAAAGTCATCTGAAACATCAAATCACTTAAGAAGAAAGGCATAGAGAATTATAACAAAAATTATAATAATTTTGAGCAC